AAGTAGTTGCCAAATCCTGTTGATTCTCCTTTCGTTGTCGGCATCTCTAATTTCAGATGGATTGGCGTCTCTCTTCTCCACTCAATACCCTCTCACCTTGACTCCACTCATTAACTCTCACCTTGACTAGGGTACTAGCCCCCTGATAGGTCCCTTCTCTCCAATCCAAACTTCTTCACACAGCTGCTAAAATAATCCTACCCTGCTGATGAGTAGGCCTTACAGTGTCTCTTCTTTGCTGAAAAATGTTCCCTACTTCTCTAACTTTTAGGCTGGTGTTAAAGACCATTCACAATCCAGTTAAAAACCTAACTTTTGCAGACTTCTTTCATTCTTCTTGGGGCAGCTAGGTGGTGCAGTGGGTGGAGCGCTGGGCTTGGAACCAGGAAGACTTATCTTCATGAGTTCAAATCTGGCCTCAGATACTATCTGTGTGATCCTGGGCAAGTCATTTAACCTTATTTGCTTCAGTTTCTTATCTGTAAAATGAGTTGGAGAAGGAATCTTTACCAAGAAAACCCCCCAAAATGGGGTCACAAAGAGTTGGACGCAACTGAAAACGACTCAGCAACAAAATTAATCCTTCTTCCCTTCACATACTCTATGTTACAGAGAAAGTAGACTACCAGGCTGACATGTCTTGTGTACACAAATCCTCCACATTGCTACCTATTGAAGGCTTTCTCTTCCTTCAGGGCCATCAGGTGCCATTGGTCTTTTCAATCCAACCAGGTAAAAATAATATCTCTCACCTCAAATTTCCTATAGCTTTCTCTGCATCTTCCTTTGTTTTCATTTCATTCCAACTTTTAGTTAGTCAACTCTGTCAACTAGCATAAATTAAGGGCCTACTACATTTAGAGCTAAAAAGGCCATAAAGTCCAACTCTCTTATTTTACAGCTCTGGAAGCTGAGGACCCAAGAGATTAAGTTGCTTATGTATGAGGTGATGTTTCAACCCAGATAGATCTTCCTGACTCCAAGTCTGGTGCCCTATCCATACCACACTGCCCATGCTTATGTACATGTTATACATACACACACATATACATATGTATATGTGCATATGTATGTATATATATGTATATACAAATGTATCCTATTAGATTATTAGCCCCTTGAGAGTAAGCACTATGTTGATTTTTATCTTTGCATCTTTAGCAACTAATACAATGCCTTATATGGTTGTTGTTGTTGTTTGTGAGGCAATTGAGGTTAAGTGTTTTGTTGTTGTTAAGTCACTTCATTTGTACCCAATTCTTTGTAACCCCAGTGGAGTCTTCTTGGCAAAGATACTGGAGTGGTTTGCCATTAGCTTCTACAACTCATTTTACAAATGAGGAAACTGAGGTAAGCAGGGTTCCTAACTTGCTCAGGATCACACAGCCAGTAAGTGCCTGAAGCGAAACTTGTACTCAGATCTTCCTGACTCCAGGACCCAGTGCTGATGTTAGTACCCAACAAATGTTTATTTTTAAATTGAGATAAGTCAAATTGATTGTGTTATGATGAAGGTTGGAAGCCTCCAGGGGCCAGTAACACGTGCACAAGGGACTCAAGGTCCACAAACACCTTGTGAACTCTGTAGAAAAGGTAAATGTTGATTGTGAGGGAAAAGAAAAGGTACACAGGATAGGACTAAAAGGGACAGCATAGGGGGAGGGAGTTCTAGGCAGTCCTATGGAGATTAAGGGCCCTGAGCTGAAAGAGAGAGGAAGACTGGAAGGGTGATTGGGATCCTTTGTGTATTAAGGAAGTTGTCACTACTTGGTCTTGGAATGGGTCATTTTTAGCTGCACTTCTATCTGTTTTACTTGTCTCTGTCACTATCCCCATGCAAGCTTATGGTTTGGTTTGTTTTTTTTTGGCTAGGCTATGGGGTTATGTGACTTGCCCAGGGTCACACAGCTATGTTGTTGTAAGTGTTATGTGTCTGAGGCCGAATTTGAACTCAGGTCCTCCTGACTCCAGGGCCAATGCTCTATCCACTGTGCCACCTAGCTGCCCCCTTAAGCTTATGTTCTAAATAACATAAGATAAGCATACACTTCTTTCCGATCATGTATTTTTCTTGCTTTCTCTAAGGTTCAGGAATGGGCAGAAAGTATATGTTGATTTAACAACCAAGATTTTGGAGCTAGAAGATACCTTAGAGATTCTTTAGTCCAAGGGATCTTAATCTGGGGTCTATAAACATACAAAACAATTCAGCTAACTGTATTTCAATATAATTGGTTTCCTTTGCAATCTTAGGTATTTTATTTGATTCTGAGAAGGGCTCCATAGGCTTCACCAGACCACCAAAGGGGGCCATGACCCACAAGAAGGTCAAGAAGCTCTGATCTAATCTAGCTTCATTGTAGATGAGAAAATGGAGAATCACAGAGGTGGAGAGACTTGTCAGGGGAGTGTACCAGAGCTGGGACATGAATGAACTCAGGTCTTCTGATTCCAAATCCCAAATGCTTTTCACTACATCATTGCTTCCCATAAGTAACATCCCATACTGATGCTTAGAAATAGATTAAGAAGCTTCATTACATATGCTTTTTAGTTGTTATGTCTGGAAGTTATATTCTAATCCTACTAGTGGATTTTTAATTTAGCCTCTAAATCAGCCTTGCAGCAAAGGAGAAAAGTTGTTCTAACAGAGGGTAATAGAAGGGAGAAAATCTTATGAATCAAATTATCAGATAAAAATACCATTTCTTATTTTTACATTTAGTACAGAATCATACACCCAGTAGGTGCTTGATAAATTATATTTGGTGTTGATGATTTATTTCATGGCACTGAATTTCAAAAAAGAGACAGCGACCATGTTAAATACAGATAGTGTACAGTTTTTGAAATTTTTTGCTTTAACATCCTGTTATGTGGTTATCATTTTCCAGCTGTGTGGTAATCATTCTCACTAAAAGAAACTTTTTTTTTGCTGTGCAAACTTTTTATCTGGAGCTTTCCAAGTAGGTCTAATATAGTGTATAAATTTGGTTGGAAACAACTTTTTTATTGGTGAGCTTGTGAATTACTTTCTAAAGGATATTTAAGATGATGGGAGGCAGCTTGGCATTCAATTCAATTCTGTAAACATTTATGAAGTGCCTGCTGTATGCAAGGAGCTGGGTTAAGCCCTGGAGATATAGATAGTTTCAATTCTGCTCTTAAAGAGTTCACAATCTAATGTGAGGAAAGAAATGTATACAAATAACTAACTCCAAGTAAACTGCAATAAGAAATAAATTATAAAATTTATGTGGAGGGAGAATTTTTTTCACCTGCAAGGGTCAGGGCAGGCATCATGGAACAGGTAGTACTTGAGTTGGTCCTTGAATCAAAAGAGAGAATTCAAAGAGTAGGAGCAAAGCCCATTCCAGACATGAATGATGGCATGGACAAAGGCATGGAAATGAGAGAGAAAATAGGATACAGGGAAAGAGAATACTCCATTTGCCTGGAATATAGAGCATAAGAAAGACACTGGGAGCCAGATTGTAGAGGGCCTTGAATACCAGGATATGGATTACACTTCATTCATTAGTTAATAGGGAGCCATTGAAAGTTTTTTGATTTTTGTTTTCTGTAGTAGAGTAGTGACATGATTGGGAGTGGTTAGAAAGATAATCTGAACAGTGATGTGAAGGATATGTAATTGAGAGGAAATAAGGAATACAGTTAGAGTTACCAGGCATGCCTACTTGTTCCTGTGGGGAGCTGACTCCATTATATCCAGTTTTCATGACTAGGGATCAGTGAAATAGAGGAGAATTTGGGAAGAGGTGGAGTATCAGAGCTATTTCCATTAGATAAAATCCATATTAAATATATTCCTTAAACTAACAAGACAGCACGGTAACCCACAGAGTGGCAGAGCTAGAGTGCAAACAATTGTCTCTTCTCTAAAAAAACATAGAGAAGCTGGCACTTCCTCATATTGCTTCTCAATAAGGGGGAGGAGGGGATTGTGTCACTGTCAGGTTGAACTTTCTCAGATCCAGATCCTTCTTGTTGAATAGGACTAGCATAGTGGTTAACAGTGCCATATGGTGGTTGAAGACATATGGGAGAAGGGACAGACTGGAGGCAGAAAGACCACTTAGGAATCTATTAAATAATTTAAGATAAGAAGAGATGCAAGCCTGAATTAGAATAGTTGCCATACACATGGAAAGAAAGGAATGGATGGAAGAAATACTATAGAGGTAGAATCAACAAGACCTGGCAACAGGTTGGATGTGTGGAGTAAGGGAGGTTGAAAGGTCAAAGATGACAAGGAGGTTACATGGTAGATTGACCAAGAGGATTGTGGTGCCATCAACAGAAACAGGAAAGTTGGGATACTGGATATGTTTTAGGGAGAATATGATGAGTTCAGTTTTGGATATATTATGATTGAGATGCCTTTGGTAAACTCAGGGAAAGACATCTAGTTCAGCTTCTTAGTTGAACATATGGCCCTGGAGTCTTGAAGAAAGATCAGGAGGAAAAGACATGGATTTTGGAGCCATCTATGTGGTAAGAGGAAAGGAAGAGGAGGCCACAGAGAAGACTGCAAAGAGGAGAGAGAGAAAGAAAGAGAGAAAGAGAGAGAGAAAGAGAAAGAGAGAGAGATAATAAGTAACAGAGCCGAGATTCGAACCAAGAACCTCTGACTCTAAATCCCATGCTCTTTGTACTGTACCACTTTGCCTCTTATTTAGCAATAAGTGACCTTAGAAAGATTTACCTTAGTAGAATGATGGGGATAGAAACCAGATTGCAAGGATGACAGGATAGATGATCCTTGAAGTCACTGAACTGTCTGTCATTTTTGTCTTCATAACCCCAAAGTCTGGAATAATGTCTTACCCACAGTAGCTATTTAATAAATGTTTGTTGATTAATTGAGGAGTAATGTGGAATTTCATACCTCCTCAGGGTGTAATGGCACACCTCTTCCCAGTTCTAGATACAAGTTAAAGAAAGCAGAAGTCGGCTCCTAATTCTTGTGAAAATCTTACCTTTTAGCCCACAAAGTCCACACATGGCTGCAAACACAGAGGACTCCATTTCAATATTCCTGATGCCAGTTTTGTAAGCTCTTTGTAAGTAATCGAGCTTTTTTTCATTAGAGAAAGAACACAGTGCTCCATCCAGACGTCCTTGTCCTTAAAGAGAAGGGAGAACCTTTGACCAATGGTCTTTCAGAGTTCACAGGCATGCTTAGAGTGGCTCATAGGTTTGTTTAGAGTGGCTCATAAGTGTGATAGCTTGAAATTGTTTCTACAGGTCATTTAAATCACTAGATTCATCTGTATCCTCAGTTTTTACTTTTGTGGTGCAATTTTCATTAAATTTGACAAACATTTATTACATATCTGTTATGCTAAATACTGAGAATATAGAAAATTAAGAAAGCATGGTCCATGATTTAAAAAAACAAACACCCCAACAGCTCTAGTTTAGTGGGGGCAGAGGAGTGAAGGTAGGGGAAGAAAAACTAAATTCTTTTTTTAAATTGGTCTGGATCTGAGGTTTCATTGGTATAGAGAATTGTGAAGAAACTTCCTTTATCAATATGGATCAGAAACTATTTTCTGAGACCCTGAAAGGTAAAAATGATGTGCCCAGTATCACACAGCCAGAAGCCGGATTGAAACCAGGTTTCCTGACACCAGTGCTGATGTCATTACACCATGCTGCCTCTCAAATCCTGTGCCTGAGAGTACCTGAGAGAGGTGCCCTGCCCTCACAAGGAACGAGGATCAAAGGAGGGAGGGCTCACTTGAAGTGGGCAGGCTCAAGCAAAGCTGTATGGAGGAGGTGACATTGGAGGCGAATAAGCTGAATGAGGATAGGCTATTAACTAGGAAGGAAAAAGAAGGCACCACACTACAGAGGCTATATGTTTTAATGGGGGAAAACACACTGGACCTGGAGTTAGAAGACATGAGTTCTAGTTCTGTTTCCATCACTTAGTAGCTATGTGACCATACACAAGTCAACTTCCTCTGAGCCTGTTCCTTCATTTGCAAAAATTGGATTATTGTTGTTTAGTCACTCAATCATATCCAATCTTTTGTGACCTTGTGGACCATAGCATACCAATATTATCCATGAGGTTTTCTTGGCAAAGATACTGGAATGGTTTGCCATTTCCTTCTCCAGTGGATTAAGACAGAGTTTTAAGTGACTTGTCCAGGGTCATATAGCTAGTAAGATTCTGAGGCTGGAATTGAACTCAGGTCTTCCGGACTTATGGGCTGGTACTCTACCAGGGCCAGTGCTCTATCCACTAGGCCACCTAACTTCCCTACTCAATCATATTCAACACTTTTAAAATCATAAAGCATCACATAAATGACAGATATTGTTATTAATCACAAGCTAAGTAATTTGTATTTTATTCAGAACATGATGAAGAGGCAATGAGAACTTTTGATCTGGGAGTACTTTAGTCAGAGTCATACATGTGGAAAATTAATCTGGCATTAGTTTGTAATTCAATTGGTGGGAGGAGGCTAGAGGTGGTGAGACCAGTTAAGAGGCTATTTTAATTATTGAGGTGAGAAATAATAAGGCCTGACTTAGGATGGAAAGGAGAGAATAAATGTAAGAGATATTATAGAAATAAAATGGATAGGAGATGGTGAATAATTGAGTGGGAGGGAGTGGTATAAGGGAGACAAAAAATGACAGAGGTTTTAGCCCTGGTAATGAGAAGAACAATAGCACCATTAACAGAAATGAAGAAGTTGGGAAAAGGATGGACTTGGGGAGGAAGATAGCAAGATCATTTAAAGATATGTTGAGTTGGAAGTGTTGACTACACATGACGGTGAAACTGTCCCACAAGGAGATGAAAATGAGGTTCTGAAGCTAAAGTTAATGATTGGGACTTGTCCCAATGGCATGTAAGCACTAGAGGCATAGATGCTATGAATGAGGTAATTCAAGCCACAGGACTGACTTAGTTAATGGAAGACAGTATATCAGTATACTTACATATGTGTACATATGCAAATATATATGAGAGACAGACAGAAAGACATAGAAACATGGAGAGATAGACACAGTGAGAGACAGAAAGATGAAGAGACAGAAAAAGAGATAGAAAGAGATATATAGAGGCAGAGACAGAGACAAAAACATGGAGATATAGAGACAGAAAGATAGATGGATAGATAGATAGATAAATAGACAGATAGAGCTAGATAAAAAGATCCAGAGAGGGAGACAAAAAGACAAAGATAAAGACATAGACAGAAAGAGATATATAGAGACAGAGAGACAGAGACAGGGAGACAGAGACAGAGAGACAGAGATGGAGAGACAAAGCCAGAGACGTAGAGAAAGAAAAGAGGAGCCAGTAGTAAAGGAAACAAGGAAGGAGGGACAGCAATAGGAGAACCTGGCCAACTTCAATTTCATGCTTTTCTCTCTTTACATCTTTCCCTCTCTCCCACTTCTATTTCCTCCTTTGCTTTTCCTTTTTCCTTATTCTTATTTTCCTCATATCTCTCTCCATTTCTTTCTTTTCCTTGAGTGTGCCAATGCCCCACAGGTATTGTTTACATCCTGGGGTTGATACAACTAAAAATGTAGATTATTACTGAGTTAGATTGGATACCCTCGTGCAACCCCTGAGTCTTTCCTAGGTTCCCCACCCCCACCCTAGCCATCTGTGCAATACTAAGGTGGAAATATTTTGAGGCAGTTCCATCCCTTTGGGGCTCCCATGTGTCTTTCTTTATGTTTTCCAATACCCACTGGTTCCTTCTGTCCTCTGCTTATCCTTTAAGGTTCAGGTGAATAGCAAAAGCAGTGAATGATTATGTTTTCCTTTCTCCTGAATCACTGATTTCAAAATTAATGACATGAAAAGAGACACAATTTTGTTAACTTCCCTAATTGCATTTTAGTATTCAATTTGTTCTTGGAGGATTAAACCCAGCCCTGAATATAAATTCATTATGTGGGTTTCTCTGCTGGTTATTATGTCCTTGTGGTCTTATGCTTTAGTAACTAGAAAAGCCTGTTTCAATTTTCTTTTAATCCTCTATTATTAATTCCCTGAAGTGGGTGTTTTCATATAATTTGTGAACTTAAATACCAAAGAGATACCAACAACTTTCTGCATAGACCCAACTGTTGGTAAGTTGTCCTTACCTTCATAGAAATCATAGGTACACATTGTATGCCCAATGAGTGTTGGGAAGTCTGGAACTTCTTTGCTACATTTGAGTAATTCTTCTGCCAATTCCTTGTCCAGCTCTGTATTTTGAGTAACCACAGTGTCCAGGATTATCTGCTCAAACTGGGGCTTAAAGAAGGAGTCTACAGCTGTGTCTGTTATAACAATAGACCCAGGTTCAATCCCTGTAATATGAAAAGAAAATGAAAAAGAAATGATTGCAACAAAACAATCCTGAGAGCCCATTTTTCTTATCTAATCTAATTCCTTTCCCACATGAGAGCTCTTTTGGTGCTTGAAGGCTGCTAACACAACCTCGCTATGTCTTTTTTCTCCTTCAGGATAACAAGTTACTTCATCTCATCCTTTCTCCATTTCTGGGTGTGTGTCAAGTTGTCTTATGCCCTTCCTAAAATGGGGTGTCTAGAATTGAACTCAGTACTCCAGATGTGAATGGAGGAATCACCATAATGTCTGGTGAATCTACCTTATTTACTACAGCCTAAGAGAGCAATAGACTGAAGAACCTGAATGTCAAGCTTAGGGTCAGTCAGTCAGTCAGTCAATAAGCATTTACAAGTGCTTACTGTGGGCTAAGCACCATGAAAAGTGCTGGGGTTAAAAAAAAGGGGGCAAAAAACCTGTCCCTGCTCACAAGCTATAGTAATTATTGTTATCCCTATTTGACATATGAAGAAACCCAGGCTCTAAGAGATTAAATAAATCTGATGGCCACATTTCTATGAAGTATCGGAGCTGGGATGCAAATCCACATCATCCCAGCTTCAAGGTGTGTGCCCTTTCCACGGTGATTCTGTTCAGGTATGGGAGGGACGCTGAGGACACCCTTCCAATACTGATATTTTATTATTCCATTGCTCGCACCTCCCTCTGTATTGTGTGTGCTTTTTGTGGCTAGCTGGCATGCCCAACCCCAGACTTGGTCTTGTGAGACCTTTAGTTTTCTCTAGCACTCAAAACATAAATGGGTCCAAGAGCATCATCCACTCTCTTACTATTCCCATTTACTTCACAGTTTTATTGGGAGGAATAAAAAAGATAATAAAAGCAATTACTTTTATTATTGAAAATGGATATATAAATGAGTTGAGAGGCAATATCAGGTAGTGGATAGAGGGCTGAATAACCAAAGGTCAAGTTCTGCTTCTAACACATGCTAACTACATGACCATGGGAAAGTTCCAAGCTCTCAGACCTTCAAAAAACTCAGAAGTCTACAAGATGTAGATGAGTTAGTTGTCAATCTGTGTTAGCGGAGATCCCTACACCAATAAAGTCAGAGCTCTTCCCTATCCTTAGCAAAACAAAACAAATAAAAATGTTGTTGTCAGTCTAACTCCTCCCATGTAGTAATATGGGGCTATGAGAGTGCATAACTATGGCAGCATGTTTGCGAGCTTCACAAAAAAGAGCTTTCCTTGCAAACCAAAGAAAGTCTAGTTGTTGGTGTCTTTGCCTCAAATCTCTCCCCAATTCAACCAAGCCTCCAACTCAGCTACCAGAGTGATGTTTTTTTTTTTTAAGAAACTCCAGTTGCTCTCTATTACTTCCAAGATTGGGCATCTAGGTGACACAGCGTATAGAGCACTGGGCTTAGCACCAGGAAGACTCATCTTTCTGAGTTCAACTATGACCTCAGATATTTTCTAGCTGTGTGACCCTGGGCAAGACACTTAACCCTGCTTGCCTCAGTTTCCTCATCTGTAAAATGAGCTAGTGAAGGAAATGGCAAATCACCCCAGTTATCTTCTCCAAGAAAATGCCAAATAGGGTCATGAAGAGTCGGACATGACTGAAAAAATGACTAAACAACTTCAAAGAGCAAACATAAAACCCTTTTGCTTGCTTTAAAAAATTTTTATAACCTGGTCTCCTCTTATCTTTCCAGTCTTCTTATACTTTTCTCCCCTTCATCTTCTTTATGACCTAGTGACACTGGCATAATGATGTTCCTTGCATAAGATATTGTATCCTGATTGCATACATTTCTCTGCCTGTCTCTTACTATTCCCATTGGAATGACTGGAATGTTCTCTCACCTCTTCTCTGCCTCCTGAATTTCTCTGGCTTCCTTCAAGACTTAGCTAAAATTTTACCTTCTATATGAAGCTTTTCCTGATTCCCCTTAATGTTAATGACTTTCTTGTGTGATATTTCTTGCATGTGTTTATTTGTGCATATGTTGTTGTTTGCATGTTCTCTTCTCTTTTAGAATGTGAGCTCCTTGAAGTTAGGGCTGTCTTTTGCCTTTGTAACCTCAGTGCTTTGTCTAATGTCTGACACATAAAAAAGCACTTAATAATTGCTTATCGACTGATTGACTAGTAAGATGATACATCTGTTAGGCATTATCAAGGATCCCTGCCTAGCATCTTGGATTGTTGGGCTTTCCTATTTTCTTTTGGCTCATAGGTGAATGTACTATATTTGGTAGTTTGATTGGTGAGGCAAATGCGCTATATTTTTATACCAATTTTTTATTCATCCTGCTTTCATCATAGACAACTGGGTACCTTACCTATGCCCCCTGATGTGCCAATGCGGATGATTGTCACATCATAACACTTTGCATAGTAAAGGAGTTTGATGAGCTCATGCAGCATAATCGAAATGGAAGGAATGCCCATGCCGTGCTGTCAAGAAGAAAAGAAAAGTCATCATATTTCTTTGAAATTGATAGATGCACAAGACATTTTGTTCCTTCTTTACAAGTTAACAACGCACAGATGAATTTATATGATCATGAAGGACTTGGCAAGGCTGGGGAAGATTTAAGTCATCTCTAACTTATATCCCCATGATCGCCTGATGGATGGGCACATCTGGGAGGATCTGAAAGGAGGATTTCCATCTCTATTTAAGTGGGTTCTGCCCTCCTAGGCAGTAACAGAAAAAAGATGTTATATAGTCTCCAAGATTGTCAGGGGAACATAATTCCTTTACTCCCCACCAGGAGCCTGATGAGGAAACTTTTCAAAAGAGCATTTTTCATGTTTAATTTGATTGTGAGAAAATGTGTGTGTGTTTGTGGCTGCCATGTCACTCAAACTTCTCTATTGTGCTAAGTGGAATTTGCAATTCCTTTTGTTGTTCTTATGTTTCCCTGCCTGAGTTCACTCACTGCTATTTCTATGTGCATGATGAATGGGGAAAGGGGGGAGGTTGGGTGAGAATGGGCCAAGAATCTAGGAATAGACATCTGAAAGAATACTCCAAATCACTGATAGAGAAAAACCAATTAAAGCAACTCTGAAGTTTCACCTCATCTTTGGCAAAGATGACAAAAAAGGAAAATAGCAAATCTTAGAGGTGCTTTGGGGAAACACACATTAATGCCCTGTTGGTGGGTCTGTGAATTGGTAAAGCCATTTTTTTCTTTTTTTTTCTTTTTTTTCTTTTGTTATGGTAATTTTTATTTATTTTTTTTTGTTTTCAACATTTACTTCCACAAGATTTTGAGTTCCAAATTTTCACCTCATCTCACCCTTCCCCCCATCCCAAGATGGCATGCATTCTGAATACCCCTTCCCCTAGTCTGCTTTCCCTTCTATCTCTTCCCCCCTTCTCTTATCCTCTTCCCTTTCAATTTTCTTGTAGGGCAGGATGGATTTCTATACCCCATTTCCTGTATTTCTTATTTCCCAATTGCATGTGAAAACATTTTTTTAAACATGTGTTTTTAAAACTTTGGGTTTCAAATTTTCTCCCTTCCTCCCTCCCCACCCACCCTCATTGATAATATATAGGTTATATATGTGCAGTTACGCAAAACACTTCCATAGTAGACATGCTGTGAAAAACTAACTCTATTTCCCTTAATCCTATCCCACCCACCCCGATTTATTCCATTCTTTCTTTTGACCCTGTCCCTCCTAAGAAGTACTTGCTTCTGATTGCCCCCATCCCAATCTGCCCTCCTCTCTATCATCCGCCTACTCTTGTCCCCTTCCCCCCCCCATTTTCCTGTAGGGTAAGACAGATTTCCATAACCAATCGAGTGTGTATGTTATTCCCTCCTTAAGTCAAATTCTATGAGAATAAGATTCACTCATTCCCTCTCACCTTCCCCCATTTCCCCTCCACTGTAAGAGCCTTTTCTGTTTTTTTTTGTGAGATAATTTACCCTGTTCTACCACTCCCTTTCTCCTTCTCCTAGTATAATCCTCTCTCACCCCTTAATTTTATTCTCTAGATATGACTCCTTCATTTTCAACTCACCCTGTGCCCTCTATCTATCTATCTATCTATCTATCTATATCTATATATACATGCATATAATTTTTTTCTTCCAACTACCCTAATACTGACAAAGGTCTCATGAGTTACAAATATCATCTTTCCATGCAGGAATGTAAACAATTCAAACATAATAAGTCTCTTATGATTTTCTCTTTCCTGTTTACCTCTTCATGTTCCACTTGAGTCTTGTATTTGAAAATCAAATTTTCTATTCCGCTCTGGTCTTTTCATCAAGAATGCTTGAAAGTCCTTTATTTCACTGAATGACCATTTTTTTCCCCTACAGGATTATACTCAGTTTTGCTGGGTAGGTGATTCTTGGTTGTAATCCTATCTCCTTTGCTCTCTGGAATATTATATTCCGTGCCCTGTGGTCCCTTAATGTAGAAGCAGCTAAATCTTGTGTTATCCTGATTGTGTTTCCACAGTACTTGAATTGTTTTTTTCTGGCTGCTTGTAATATTTTCTCCTTGACCTGGGAACTCTGGAATTTGGCTACAATATTCCTAGGAGTTTTCCTTTGGGGATCTCTTTCAGGAGGAGATCAGTGGATTCTTTCAATTTCTATTTTGCCCTCTGGTTCTAAAATATCAGGGCAGTTTTCCTTGACAATTTCCTGAAAGATGATGTCTAGGCTCTTTTTTTGATCATGGCTTTCAGATAGCCCAATAATTTTTAAATTCTCTCTCCTGGATCTATTTTCCAGGTCAGTTGTTTTTCCAATGAGATATCTCACATTGTTTTCTAATTTTTCATTCCTTTGAATTTGTTTTACAGTGTCTTGATTTCTCATAAAGTCACTAGCTTCCAATTGCTCTATTCTAATTTTTAAGAAAGTATTTTCTTCAGTAAGCTTTTGGATTTCCTTTTCCATTTGGCTAATTTTGCTTTTTAAGGCATTCTTCTCCTCATTGTCTTTTTGGACCTCTTTTGCCACTTGGGTTAGGCTATTTTTTAAGGTGTTATTTTCTTCAGTATTTTTTTGGGTCTCCTTTAGCAAGCTGTTGACTTGTTTTTCATGATTTTCTTGCAAAACTCTCAGTTTTTCCTCTACTTCTCTTACTTGCTTCTCAAAATCCCTTTTGAGCTCTTCCAAGGCCTGGGACTGATTCATATTCTTCTTGGAGGCTTTGGATGTAGGAGCTTTGGCTTCATTGTCTTCTTCTGGTTGTATATTTTGATCTTCTTTGTCACCAAAGTAAGATAATATAGTCTGACTCTTTTTGTGATGCTTCCTCATGATCCCGACCAATTACTTGAGTTTTACACTCTTTGTTAAGGTAAAAGTCTGCTTCCAATGTGGAGAATTACTGTCCCATGCTTCAGGGGTTTGTACAGCTGTTTTCAGAGATATTTCTAGGGATCTGTAAATTTTCAGTTCTTCCAAGGTGCTATGATAAGAGGCGAGGTGTTTTCTCTCCACCACCACAACAAGCTTCACCACACCAGCACTCCTCCTCACCCCAGGACCACCCCATAGAACTGTGACCCCGATCCAAGCATGGGCAAAGCAAGAGATTCCTGCCCCAACACTGGTAAAGAGACCCAGCAATCCCCCTCGATCAGCCACTCAATTCCCCCTCAGTCTGTGGGCCAGAAGCTCAGGAAACAGCCACGGCCCTGGGGGCGGCTGAGACCTAGCTCCTTCTCTCACTGCAGTCACAGACTTTTCCCACTGACCTTCTAAGTTGTCTTTGGCGTTTGTGGGTTGAGAAGTCTGGAAACCACCACAGCTGCCCATGATTCAGTCCTCTGAGGCCTGCTCCAGTGTCGCTGTGGCCTGTGCACCCACACCGAACTGCTTCCCTCTCCCCGCCTGGCGTGATATACCTTTCTGATCAACCATCCAGGCTGTCTTTGGCTGGAAATTTGTTTCACTCTGTCTTTTTGTGGGTTCTGCTGCTTTAGAATTTGTTTAGAGCCGTTTTTTATAGTTATTTGGAAGGGTTTGGGGGGAGAGCTCAAGCAAGTCACTGCTTTCCCTCCACCATCTTGGCTCCTGGTAAAGCCATTTTGGAAAGCAGTTTGGAACAATACTCCAAAAGTCACTTAACTGTGATATTGTTTGATTGAGAGATAGCACTATGAGGCCAACAGATAGACAGATAGATAGATAGATTTAAATGTATATGTGTATAAATGTGTGTATGTATATGTGTATATATTTATATGAGGGTAGATAGATAGATGATAGATGCTTAAGAGACCAAAGAAAGAGGGAAAGTATTCACATACAACTATATTTATAGTGGCTATTTTTATGGGGGGAAAAACTAAAAACTAAGGGAGTACCATCAGTTGGAAAGTGACTGAACAAATTATGGTATATGAATATAGTGAAATACTATTACACCATGGAACATAATGGAAGGGACAGTTTCAGAGAAACCTGGGAAGACTTATGTGACCTGCTGTGGAGTGAAGTGAGCAAAACCAAGAGACCAATTTATACAATAACAACAACATTATAAAGACAAATAACTTGAAAGACTTAAGACCTCTGGTAAATGCAATGACCAATAACAATTCCAGAGGACAGGTTCTGAAGCATGCTGCTCACCTCTTGATGGAGAGGCAATGGACTAAAGAAACAACATGAGATGTGCATTTTTAGACATGGCCAATGTGGAAATTTGTCTTGCTTGATTAAGCATATTTGTTATAAGGGTTTTGTTTTTTCTTAATTTTTTTCAATATGGGTGGAAGTGGGAGGGAGGGAACATAAATGCATGGTAATTGAAAAAAATCAAATGAAATCTGTGTGAAAAATAAAATACACTGAGAAACAAGTTGCAAACACAATTTATATTTTGCAATATATACTGGAAGCACAGGCAAGAATCATGACAGACTGTGGGGGTGGTGTAGCATTTTGAACACTTTCAGTCAGTCAGTCAGTCAGTCAGTCAAAAGATAGTTATCAAGTGCCTGCTATGTGCCAGGCACTATACTAAGGGCTTGGGATTCAAAGAAAGGCAAAAGACAGTCTCTACTCTCAAGGAGCTTACAATCTAATGAGGAAGTCAACAAGAGAAAAAAATGTGTACAAACAAGATATATACAGAATAAATAGAAAATAAATGAGAGAGAAGGCCTTAGAATTAAGAAAGATGGGGAAAGTCTATATAATATGGGATTTTAGTTGGGATTAAAAGGAAGCCAAAGAAATCAGTAGGCAGAGATGGGAAGGAGAACATTCCAAGTAAGGGGGATAGTCAGAGAAAGTGCCTGGAGACTAGAGATGGAATGTCTTATTTATGGAACAGCAAGGAAGCCAGTGTCACTGGATCAAAGAGTAGATGGTGGGGAGAGAGGTGTGAGAAGACTGGAAGTGGACTAGGTTATGAAGGGTTTGAATGTTAAATAGAGGATTTTGTATTTGAATCTGGAGGCAATAAAGAGGAATTGAAGTTTATTGAGTGGTGGAGTGGCATACTCAATCCTTTACTTTAGGAAAACTCATTTTGGTGGCTGAACAGAGGATGGAATAGAGTAGGGGGAAACTTGAGGCAGGCTGACCCACCATCAGGCTATTGGAATGGTCTAGGTGTGAAGTGATGAAGGCTTGTACCAGGGTGGCAGCATTGTCAGAAAAGAGAAGGGAGCATACCTGAGAGATGCTGAAAAGGTAAAATTCACAGGCCTGGGCAACAGATCAGATGTGATGGGTAAGAGACAGTGAGGAGTTGAGAATAATACCTGTAAGCCTAAGGAACTGGGAATCTGGAGATCAGCAGAGAGGTTTGGGTAGAACGGGTAGATTGGAAAAATATTAGCATAGAGATGGTAATTAAGTCCATGGGAGCTGATGTTTTCACCAAATGAAGTAGTGCAGAGTAGGTCTGACTAGAAGCAGCTGTTGAAATAGAGGAGAGTTGTTTAACTCTCTAACCTATATACATTTGAACTCTAATGACAGGAAGATACTGCCATAACATCTTTTGACCTCATCATTCCACTGAAACTGCCCTCTTCAAAGTTCCTAATGATCTCTTAATTGCCAAATCCAAAAGGCATTTCTCAATTCTCATTCTTTATGACCTCTCTGCAGGTGACCTGTTGGTCACCATCTCTTCCTTTATACTTTCTTAGATTTCAGGGACAGCATTCTTTCCTGGTTCTCTTACTTATCCGATCTCACCTTTTCAGTGGAATGATGAGGTCAGAAGATGTTATGGCAGTGTCTTCCTGTCTTTAGAGTTCAAGAGTATACAGGCTAGAGAGTTAAATAACTCTCCTCCATTTGAACAGCTGCTTCTAGTCAGACCTGCTGTCTGGAAGCAATGTAATGAAAACAATGATGGACTTAGAATCGGGAGAGATCTGGTTTCAAATCCTATTCCTGACACTTATTATCTGGGTGACCATGGACAAATCATTTTACTTCTCTAAGTCTCAGTTTCCTCATGTGTAAAATGGGACTACAATCACTGAATTTAACTACACCACAGAGTGGTCATGGAGATCAAAGGAGATAATACTTGTAAAGGGCTTTGCAAACCTTAAAGCATTAAACAAACAAATATCGGTTATCATTACAGGAAATTTGTCCAGCCACCACTGGAAGTAAGTCTAAGCACTGGAAGTGACTAAGCTAAACTGACTACTGAATTGTACTTTGCACAAAGAATTTAGTGGAACCTTGTAAGTGAAGCCTTTCATGTGTTCCACTCGAAGGCAGAAAGACTTTTTGTACAAGAGAGCATATTGGGAAAGAAGGTAGGAGGGCTGGTCTGTCCTGGTAGTTGGGTGGTTTCTGTCAGGACTACTCAGGATGAGTTCAGTTTGGAAACTCAAAGGAGACAAAGTCCATTTGTTTTCAGCAGGATCTCCAAATATGTTTACTGTTTTCTTTATGTCATGAGAGAACTTATACTCTGTGAAATAATCAATTTCTGGTCTGTTCTGGTGAGTTAAATCAATTCCCTTTCCCCTCCTCACATTTGATACAGCCTGCTTCTCCAATCAGAATTTGAGAAATTTGTGTGTGTGTGTGTGTGTGAAGCCCTTGGAGAGCACGGCCGGTGTCTCTTGCCTTTTTTTAACCCCAGTGCCCTGCCCAATGTCCTCATCATGCTGGCTACTCAATAAATATTTGCGGCTATGAGCTTGTTCATTTTTGTTACAGGTTTTCTGTTACCTCCCCCTATCTATCAGCTAGAGAGAAGACATTTTTAAAAAAGGGCTTTGAGTTAGGAATTCCTCCATTCTGCTGATGAAACCAAGGTCCAGGTTGCTGACCTTAGAGCTAGAACCATGTTTTAGCTACTCTTTTCTCAAGGGGCACTGAGATTAGGCTGTTTTTATTTCATGGTGAAGTTTTATTGCTTGCTTCTGGTGGTTTTAAATATATTTTATTAATGCTGTATTTCACTATCCTCACACACTCAGACTGCTTGAACAAAGGGCAGGGTGTTGTAAGTCAAAAAGCATGTTAAGGCTTTGGGAAGCAAGGTCTACAGAAATATTAAAAGTTCTCTATCTCCACTCTCCCTTTGAACCCAAAATGGGCAGCATCCATGCACTTTTTTTTTTGGCTAGGCAATGGGGTTAAGTGACTTGCCCAGGGTCACTGTCAAGTGGCTGGTCTGAGACCAGATTTAAACTCAGGTCCTCCTGAATCCAGGGCGGGTGCTCTATCCACTGCATCACCGAGCTGCCCCATCCATGCACTTCTAATGGGGGAAGCTCCCCCGTCTTTTCCTTCCCCATCATCTTCCCCTTTGCTGTCATTCCCTAGCCTTCTGTTCTCCTCTCTAGCCATTGCTGTGCCCAGAGACTGCTATGTCAGTTACAGCTATCCACACAGGCTGCTGCTTGGGGGATAGAGTTATGATTAGCTTTCAGTGGTAGTCATCATTTCCTGGCATGGGACCTATCTCTAACTTAATTGCTAGACGGGAGAATTGTTACAGCCTTGCTGCAATGAGGTTTCTCTGGTCTTCTGGCCACATCTCAGGCCATTCTTCCTCTGAGGCTGCATGGTCTAGTGATGCTAGATGCTCCCTGCTGTTACGTTATGACCTTGCCCCGTAGGTAGAGACAAAGTTTGTAAGGCCAAGCTAGAGGCATATTCTGACACATCTTTATGATATTCTGCTTCCCTGAAGACAATAGCTAAAAAAAAAGTCAGGGGAAGGGTAAACAGGATTATATTTTGCGTATAGTTCATAAAAATTGTAATTCTGTTCTTCATTTATCTTAGGGCACTGTGTGTCTACTGCTGCTAACATATTCTAAATGCAGGAAAGTAATTTATAGGAACCACATGAAAATGCATTAGCAGATTTTCAGTAGGGCTTATTAAAGTTTTAAACTGTCGCATTTTGGAATAACTACAAATTTCCATGGTGTACTAAGACTTCCACGTTCACAGAGGTAGAGAGGTGTTGAAGAGAGAGTTGCTGAAAGGTGATGTGTGTATAACAGGGACAGTTAATGGTTAGCAGTGAGAAAGAAAGTAGATGTCCTTTTTTGCTATTTCTAACATGAAAAGTTTACATGTTAACTGCCCCAAAGCAATACTGAACAGTATGTCCTGCCCTTTCTTTCTAATAATGAATTTGTACCTGGCAACTTTGTGGGATTGTATTGGAAGGTCACACTGAACATCTCAGTGATCATGTTGGGTTGGGTAACCCCTCCACCAGGGTAGAACACAGATATAAAGACAAAATGGCACTGATTCCTGTCTGGCCTTCTCTTCAATTCCACAGGGGCAGTGCTACAGTGAATAAAGGAGCAGAAGGGGCTAAGAATCACATATTTATAAATGTCTGTGCAACTGCTGATACTCTTAATGCATGATCTTTTTCCAATGATCAGTAAGTTGATGCTTTACTGGAGGAAGTGTCCAGAATGTGAAAGAGAAAAACAACATGCTTATCTTTGAGCATTCCCCACTCCTGATTGGAAACTAACCCCTACCCTGCTTACCCATCCCTATAGGTAAGAACCCAGAATCTATGCTCCATTTGAGGCAGCTAAGTGGCTCAGTGGATAAAGAGCCAGGCTTGGAGCCAAGAAGACCTGAGTTCAAATCTGGCCTCAGACATGTATTAGTGGTGTGACCCTAGGCAAGTCACTTCACCTTTGACTGTCCCAGTTTCCTCAACTGTAAAATGGGGAAAATAATAGCACTTACCTTATAGGGTGGTTGTGAGGATAAGATGAGATAATAATTATAAAGCACTACATAAATGCCAGCTATTATTAACTATTTAGAGCCTTTGGCCCACTTCCTGTTTCCTAATTGTGGTGGGCCAGACCCCTTCCCTACCCCAACCCTGCAGAATGGACATAGCTGCTCACATTGCTTGTATGAGCTAGAAATAAACAATAGTTCTTCTAGTAAGGTGGAGGACCACTAAGCCTTACCTTTAACCCTGACAATGATTCCTCAGGTTCTCTGGGTCTTTCCATCTTTTCTGCTGCTACACCCTCCAGACCCCCAGGCACTGTCCCCAGGGCTTTGCCATCTGCCTCACGCATAAACCCATTTTCTTTTAGGTCTTCCAACCACCCTGCAGCTGAACTTTCTTATGTATGTTGTCTCTTCTAGTTAGAGTGTCAACTCTTGAGGGCAGGCACCTTCTCAGTTTTTCTCTTTGTATCCTCAGGGCTTAGCACAGTATTTATAACATACATGCACAAGCACATAATACCTGCTTAACAAATTTTTTCATTCATTTATTCATGCATTCACTTACAAGTAGCCAGATTTTTGTATCCCGCTACAATGATTTCAATAGCTTCTGTGAGGTAGGTCATCACAATGATTTAGTACTTACATTGATGGAGAGCACTGGGCCTGTTTTGTACATACAGTATCTGTCTGTCCCAGTACAAATGTCTTGCATGTCTTCCTCACTTCCCTCAAGTCCAAGTTCTTTTCGGATAAAAGCGCAAAAGCCTTCATTCTGTTGGAACTCCCTCTGACACAGACAAACTGCAAAGAAAACCATCCAAGAGCAGTTGTAGTAATCAATGTGGTAACCAAGGCTCAGTTTGCCTCTAAAATGTCTCATTCAGCTCTTCACATGTGCCTTATGCTAGGGTACGTCTATACTGTAGACAGTATTAGGCAGAGAGCAACAGTGTAGGGGAGTTGAATGTATACTTGCCTTGGAGTCAGGAAAGATGGACGTTCAGATCCTACCTCTGACACTTACAAGCTATGTGACTGTGAGTATGTCATTTAATTTCTCTGTGCCTGAGTTTCCTCATCTGTAAAATGGAAATAACCACCCCTTAGAGTATTTAATTCACCCAGTGTTTGAGAGGATCAAATAAGATCATCTGTGTAAAATGCTATGAATGTTGTTGTTGAGTCATTTTTTCAGTTATATCTGATTCTTCATGACCCCATTTGGAGTTTGCTTGGTAAAGATACTGAAGTGGTTTGTCATTTCCTTCTCTAGCATTTTATAGGTGAGGAAATTGAGGCAAACCAGATTAAGGGACTTGCCTAGGGTCACACAGCTAATAAGTGCTGAGGCTGGATTTGAACCCATGTCTTCCTGACTCCAGGCCTGGCACTCTATCCACTGTGCCACCTAGCTGCCTTGTTATAAATTTAAATGTCTATTATTATTATTATTATTAAGGAAGTGAATCAAAGGAGACTGGATCAAGTCAAAGAAATTTTCTATGTAATCTGACAATATAGTAGAGTGTAGATCATTGTTAATCAAAACGGAGAAGTTCCTCCATAAACCTGATGAGATTATAGGTCTTGGCCATTGGATGAAAACCAGTGATGGAACACAGGGAACTCCTAGTGATTGGATAGTGAATGATCAGTCATGCAACTTATGGCCTATACAGGCAAGCTAGAACTTGTCTTGTCCTACTCTGTTAGAACTCAGCTCTTGAGGAATTGTTTTTCATGTGTTTCCTCAGACCTATTTCAGAGTATGTCAAGGGGAAGGGGGAGGTGCAGGGTATTCCTCCCATCTTCCAACCAGAAGCATCACTGACAACTTGTAGCAGCATATGGCCACAGGAAACATGTGCTTCCATGCAGCCTGAAAAGAGAATTCAAAGATTGTTTCCTGAATGCCAACTTCCTGTGTAGAAAAGGGAAGGGGTATTTTAATCTCCTTAGACAGTGTGATCTTGGGATCTTGCCTCTTAGCAGAGAGAGAAATTTTTCAAGGCAGCACCAGTTTTGAGAATTGCCTCATGGGTAACTCCAAGTTCAGGAGTTCCTGAGTTTGAGAATTCCAGGGACTAGATCTTCTAGAGAGAAAAGATTTCCTGATACCTCCTGCTCCTTGGAGGAGAAAGGCAATGTTCATCATTTTAGCAGAGTATAGTACTTGGACCATGAAGCCAGATAAGGGATAGTGCCCATTCTAAAGAAGCATGCAGTGCCCTACCCAAGGATTGAAAGCAATGGATACTACAGTCAAGCAGCAGTTTTGGAGCAGTCTCTGACAGTAAGCATTCAGCCAACCAGTGTCTGGAAGCATACTGTATACTATGAAACCAAGGTCAGGAGCCTCTAAGTGGTGCAGTATATAGAGCACAGGCCCTGGAATCAGGAGGACCTGAGTTCAAATCCAGTCTCAGACCAGACACTTGACATATACTATCTGTGTGACCCTAGGCAAGTCACTTAACCCCAATTGCCTTGCAAACAGAAAGAAAAGAAACCAAGGTCAGCAGGAGCAACATGCAGACTTCGGGGTCCTGCAGCGTTGGAGGCATGAGCTGTCCCTTCTCATGTTTCTTGACTATACACATTCCCTTCGTAAGTATCCCTTCCAATATACCCTGGTCATATCCATCCCCTATGTATTTTCCTCTCTTCTTATGATTTCTATGTGCATCCATTCTCTCTGCTGATGCTGATTTTTTTTTTTTGTGGAAGAGTGCACTCCAGATTTTTGAGGGAGATATCTGGTTGTTGTTTTTTTTTTAATTTTTTAATTTTTTTCCTGCTGTCTTAGTAAATGACTTTGCTTTGAGCTAATTATGCCCTCTGGCTAACTTTTAAAAGACAAACTTATTGGTGAGGGCTTATAATGTATAATTTAAGGGTACATGTCCATTAAGTGCCTAGTGCTATATTATTATTATCGTTGTCATTATTATTATTATTGCTATCATTGGCTTATGACAAATATTAGCTGACCAGTCTTTAACATTAACCTGGAATTAAATATAGAACAAAACGTAAGATAACTTCAGTATGATCAGTTTAAGTGAACAGGTCAGCAAAGATATGATCACAAATCAAAAAAAGGGTGGTTCACATCTCACCTGAGTGTTTCCTAACGTTTTCATTTACATTGACTATCTTGGCCTGCTTTAGACATTTGCTCTTGCATAATCCCTGTGTTCAATAATAAATGAAATTGAAAAATGGAATCATATTAATATCAGTGGACATATTTAAAGAACCAGTAGATTCTTTAATTCAGCAAAAGTTTGAGAATTGTTTTACTGGCAAACTCATGAATTAAAAATCAGTTCTTAGTATTTTTTTTAATAGAGAGAGTGTCTATTGAAGTTTTTATAACTAGGAGTGAAGATCTCATTGATTCAGTAGAGTCCAGAGCCTGAGCAGGCCCAACTGTAAAAGGACTTAACAACTCATAAATCGTGCCTAAGTTATTGGCATATTATTGAGTGTGGCAAGCAGGGCCATCAGGGCTTGGGATCAGAAGTAGAATTGGCATGAGAGAGTTAAGAAACTCTAAAACAAAAGTGTCGCATTCAAGGGTGCCACAATATCTAAGGAAATTGTTTAAGAGCCAGTAATTATGTTGAAGAAATAACAAGCAAGAAATTTGATTACTAGTTTTCAGCTCCTACTTGGAGGGCCCATTCCTAGGTATAGTGGATCAGGAGTCGGTTGCAGAAGACTTACTCTAGCTTCTATAGTTGGAATAAGTCACAAAGACTCACCTAGTTCAGCGAAGAAGTAAAAACATAGAGCAACTACAGCAGTTCTTGGGGAGCATCTTCTGATGAGGAGAAAATATGTCATTCAAGACTAGTTAATGTTAAAGTAGGTTTAGATAAGAGTCACATGGTGACTCTCTTTTATACTTTCTACGATGGCTGTTCCAAATGTTGTCTTTTCTCTTCACATCTCATTCCATTTACACTGAATATATCATGTATGCACTTCCCCCCAAGTTGTCTTCCCCAGTAGAAGGTGAGCTCCTTGAGGGGAGAGGCCATGTTTTTGCCCTTCTCTGTATTCCCAGAACTTAGCAGAGTACTTGGCATTTAGTAAATACTTTATAAATGCTTATTGATTTAGGATTAGTGAGATCCTTTTCTTGTACTGTGCTGAGAAAATAAAGGACATTCATCATGAGTTCCCTCTTCTCATCCATTACATACCTCTACACCATCCCTCATTCTCTCTTCCTTTGTTCTAGTCCCCGATGAAGAGATGACTCTTCTCTTTTCCGAAGCCAACCACTCTACCTATGCCCTTGACCTCATCCCCTCCCTATTTCTCTGGGAGTCTTTTCATAATCTAGTTCCAGCCTACCTTTCCTGACTTATTTTCTATTACTCACCTTCATATAGTCTAGATTCTAGTCAAACTGGCTCAATTGTTTTTCCTTGAATTCAGCATTCCATCTCTCATTTCTGTACTTTTCTCCCATCCCCAAATTGACACAATCTTTTCCTCAGTTTCTTAGAACCCCAATCTTCTTTTAAAGCTTAGCTCATGTGCACCTTCTAAAGTAGGACCTTGGATATAAAAAATTGGATAAATGTATTTCAGTAAAATTTATTTCCTTTGTAGTCCTATATATTTTAGTTTATATACTTAAAAACATTTTTCTGAGGGGTCCATAGATTTTTACCAGATTGACAAAATGTTCCCATGACATAAAAAAGATTAAGAACTCCTGTCCTAAAAGAAGCCTTTCCCAGTCCACTTAGTTATTCTTGCTCTCTGCCTCATATTGTCTTGCATTTACTTATTTGCTTACTTGTCTTATCCTCTAGTCAAATGTAAGCTCCTTATGAGTAGGTGAAGTTACTCATTTTTCTCTTTGCATTTCTAGTACCTAGGACAGGGACTCACTCATTGTGGGCACTCAGTAAATGCTCGTTGGTGTTGGAGGTTTTAACATTATTTCATTAAGCTATTGGATATTCTAATTGCATTATGTGCTACTATTATTAATTACTACTACTACTATTATTAATTACTACTACTACTACTACTACTACTACTACTATTACTACTATTACTACTCTCTTTTGCTGATTACCATGGAGCCGTTTTTGTAGCTCCTTGGTTTATTTGCCAAGGGACTGATAGTAGGTAATCAGCTCTAACTCAATTCAAATTTAAAGGCTGAGTAGAAAAGGAGGTGAAATCATGAGCTAAGTTGAGGTTTTGAGTTAACTGTGGATTATCCATTCAATTTCCTCCTCTACTATCATGAAAAGCCAAGAGTTGGCTTGAGATCTAAGTGTATGCAGGCTATTTTTTGCCAAGCATGATAGTTTCTAAATAACCTCATTGTCTGATACCAGTGAATGTAAATGACTATGATTTATATTGATCATAAAGCCAAAACAGATGTTAGAGTAGCTTGTGGTTTGATTTCTCCTTTGAACTGTAGCTATTGCTGCAATCAACAGGCATTACTGGATGTTGCTGGAGCCATAAGGATGATATGGTCAGACAGAAAAAGCCTAGATAAGACTTTGTAACTGACAATTCTTAAAACCAAAGTCCTAAATCAGAGGCACTAGCATTTCAACTACAGATCTGAGTTTCAATTGACTGCTTAAGTGGGAAGTTAAGCTTGGCTGGCAACTACCAACATTGACCTTGATGGTCACTAATCAGTCAAAGCCTCAAATGAGTTTTTTTTTTTTTCATTTGTCCTTGTTCACTCCAGAGAAAAAGTGGTGAGGAGGATCCACAAATGTCACAAGAATATGTGGAAGAAACAAGAATAGTTGCTGATAAAGTTTATTTAGCTGTTACTATAAGGTATACACTATCTTATCCTCGGTATTGATTTTAAAAAATACCTAAAATTAAGTTTCCTACTTTACAGGTCTGGTGGGCCTTTTTGCATTATTCTGAATTGTGTAAATGAGTATATGGAGGTTTTTAATCCGTTATTATCCTTCCAGTTTTATGTTTAAATGTCCTGGGGACAATTTGGCTTATGTGGGTCTCTCAGCAAGCCTTCTGGAACTTACAAGGGATCAACCATGCGCTCCACTGGCCGAGGCAATGCTAAGAGATCTAGAGGAACTCTCCTCCATGCCTCCACTCTGCCACGTTGCATGGACCCCCTGGGGAGAACATATTGGAAAATAGGATGAACACAGGATGAGTAGGCATTGGTGGGTTGTAATCTTTATCATTTGAAGGACAAGATCCCAGATCTATCAAAGTCTCAAAGCAGCACATGAATCAGAATTCCATTTTTTCACCTAATATGTCTGTGAAGCTGCCTAAAGACATTGGGGAAGATTATAAAATTATGTTTATGGTAGCAGTCTCCCCAGCATTTTAAAGACAAAATTTTCAATATGTTCATAGACAGACACTCAAAGAGCTTTCCCCTGATTTTGTAGATGATGTTATTAACAAGGATGACAATTTGTGTATAGATGGAGCTTAAAAAGCTAATGTTGTTTTGATATTGTGAAAGACTGTGGACCTTAAGTGGACCTTAGAGGTTGTGTACTCCAAACCATTCATTTTACAGGCCCTTGGAGGTCACATGATTTGCGCAAGATCACATAAGCAATATGTACCAATACCAAGAATTGAACTCAGTTCACTGTTTCCTATTGTCCAAGTGCACTGATTACATTTATACTGCTAAAGATATCTCCAGAAGGTATCTGTGTACTTACAAGGATTTAAAAAGTTCCAATTTATTTTTAGGCATTAGTATTCAATATCCTCCACATTTTCCAGAAAAATCCCCTGTCCCAAGTAGGACTGCTGCTATTAAGTTTAAACTCAAGCAATGAATTGACCCTATAAAATGCTGAAGCAGAGATAAGGAAGGAAGAAGATGGAAGAAAAGCATTTCTAAATGTGAATCAGACTGGCTGGTTCTTCCAGTCGTAGCTAGGATAGCACAAAGTCACACAGGTAGAAGGAATATGATACACAACTATGGAAAGGAGAATGATAGAAACCCTGGGATAGAAGTGCAAGACTGATGCTAGGTAGTCTGCCAGTTGGGTAGGGTGCAGAGGGAAGGAGGCTAGGATGGAAGAGGAAATCTCCCCAGCTCCCAGCCCACCATCTGGTAGAATCTGATTTTAACTTCTAATTCTTGCTAACTAGTTGTTAAATGTTGTTGTATCCATGCTGCCAAAGGATGACAAGTGATGTCAACATTCTCTAAATTTAGCTTCCTGGGGCAAAGTCCTGGTCACTCTGCTCTAGTTATAGTTGTGTGGGTTCCAGTTAATGCTAGAAAGATCCTCCTTTCATTCTCTTCCATATGCCTATAGCTTCTGCCCCCAAAGGTACAGGTCAGATGGATAGTTCTATTTTGGAAATTTCCCCTCACTTCCCCATCATAATATAACAATTCAATTCAATGCTTTTTGACCAGATCTGTGGTTTCATTGGTATCGAATCAAAGATCTAGGAACTATTAGTAAGGAAAACCCCTCTGCTGGTGCAAATCAATCTTGCCTCTCCAACTTATACTCTGGAGCACTGAAAGTTCAAGTGACTAAAATCATTCACCAGGTGTCAAAGGTGAGATTTGAATCCAGGTCTTCCTTATTCCATTGCTTCCCATTGCCTTATTATATTTATTAATTACAATATGTATGTGCTATACTATATTTATTATTTTCATTATGTTTATATTATATAAATTATATAGAAGGTTCTTTGGTTATATGGAATTGTCATGTGTAAGAAATGTTTCTTAGGCATTGGGAAGTCCACATAATGGTACACAGTCAGGTGAGAATTCAAGCTTTGGTAAATGGAAACAGTAGGGTCTATAGCAGTAATAATGATAATGATAATAATAATAATAATAGTTGTCATTTATGTAGCACATTAATACTTTACAAATATTATCTCATTTTCCCCCCACAACAATTCTGGGGGGATAGAGGTAGATGGTGTTATTATTCTTATTTTTACAGATGAGGAAACCAAGACTGAGGGAGGTTAAGTAGCTTGTTGGTGGTCACACAGATAGTATGTGTATGAGTCTAGATTTATGCTTGGGTGTTCTTGACTCCAGGCCCAGCCCTGTATGTTCCACCGAGCTATCTCCTGAAGCCTCCTTCCTATAGCAGGGCGAATAGAGGGATGCAGAGATCAAACTTTTAGATACTTTCCGCCAGGAGAAATGCAGATGACAGGGCTCCTAGGGTTTAGCCCAGGCCCTGCAGTGTGTGACAGCACAGAATAGTGGAAAGATTGTTGATTTCCTGATTGCTTAGAATCAGGAAACCCTGAGTTCTAATCTCTTCTCAGGCCCTTGCTGTCTTTAAAACCACAATCAAGGCAAGTAACGTTTCAGAGGTTGTTTCCTTTCCTTCAAAATTGGCATAATAATAATACTTATACTACCTATTCCACAGGGTGGTTGTGAAGCAAATTCTCTGTAAACTTTCAAGAGCTCTGTAATGGAATTATCATTGGTAAAACAAATGGTACCCATGAAATATCTTTTTTAAGCAAAGGATCATCCATTCTGAATTGGAACCAACCTTAGAAATCATCCTTCCCTTATTTGATAGGTGAAGAAACTGAGGTCCATGAAGGGGAACTGGGTTGCCTGAGGCCAAATAAGCAAGGAATCAGGCCCAGCTTCTCTGAGTCCAAATCTAATCATCTTTCTTCTGTGCTGTACCTCTGAATAAGTACCTGAGCTGTTTTTAGCCGTGATACCAAGACACCATCCAAAATTTGTTCAAGTACGTGGACCCTCAACATCCAGTAATAGCACCTCTGTTCTATCATGATAGGTCATGTGGTTTGCAGGATGAGAGTTAGGACACTATTGTTTGTTTGCTGGGTTGTGATCAGAGGTGGGCATTCTGGTTCCGGCTCTGTCCTTCACTAGCCTTGTCAACTTGGATAAGTGTTAGGTAACCTCTGTGAGCCTTAGTTCCCAACTCTGTAGGAGAGGTATGATACCTGCCCATCTCATAGGGCTATTGTGTGGAACAGAAGATATACTATCAATGAAAAGGCTTTGAAAACGATCAAGCATTACACAAATGTAAGGCATTTTCCATTCCTTTAATTGCTTGTATATTTATATTTATGTTCCTGCTTCTGATTCTTCCAAACCAGGGCCATCCTTAGAGGGGTGCAGGGCCTAGGGAAAATTACAGTATCAGGCTCCAGGGATATCTTCATTCAAGGAAAATCTAGTGAGAAGCATCAAGAACAGCCTCGATTGACTGAACTGAGCTTAAGCATCAAGGATGATAGATAGGAGAAGTATTACAGTTTAAAGAAAATAGTCAATAGCACAGATATCACAAAAAGGCAACATACACAAAAGGATATGTTTGAAAGGGGGGAGAAAGGACATAGTTGTCAGCAAACCAGTCCTGGTCTCTCCTATGTTGCCTTGGTGATGATGGAAGGAGGATGGGAGAACTCAGGGCAGATTGTGAGTGAGAGCATCAGTTTTTGTTTCAGCAAAAGGTGTTGATGCTACTTACCCTACTCCCCTCTTGTTATATCCCTGAGTTATATGTTATATGTTATATCCCTAAGTCATTGCATAGCTTCAGCAATCTGGTCCCTCCACTATGTCCCCTTCCCTCCACAAAGGCACAGATCCCAAGACAATTGCTTAGATTACAACACAATAAATATGGTTCTCTGTATTGCTGGATGGCAAATTTCTTGGAAAAGCAACAAATCTGAATAATTTCATCTGAGTTGTATTTTTTAAAGTGAAATAAAGTTTTTTTTTTGTTCTCTGCTACTTAGATAGTATTGGGTTTAATGACTTGAGGATTAGGGAAATTCACTTATAAATTTAGACCTTAAGTAATGATTTACTAGATCCTTAACACTTTGGTTAATTCCCAAACTCTGAGCACCATTGAGGTTATCAGTATAATTTTCTACATTCCTGGGGTAAGAATAACCAGTATATGTATACTTGTATTCAAATTAGCTTGGGAGTCTTCATGTTTCATTGAGGATAGAGAGGAATTCCTCTATTATTGGATAAATTTGAAATAGCTTCAGAAAATGAGAGTGGCTTCAGTTCGTATAAGAACTGACTTATTCCTTTAGTACTAAATGTGAAACTCAAGTGATATAGGTAAAAATGAGAAGCAGCAGATGAAGAAAGTCAGTATTTCCCAATGTTCCAGATATTTTTATTTACCTTTACATCACCAAACATGGCTGGAAGGTTATGTGTCTTTGTTCCTAAATCCAAGTGGTAAAGAATATCTTCATCCATAGAATTCAGGTGAGGGTTTTTAACACAGACAAACCTATTTCTGAAAAAAAAAATGAGAGTTAATGTAGAAGAAGTCAGGGGATAAATTAACACTCAAAAGAGGAAGAATGACAATCAGATTGAAATATATCATGAAATATGATCATATTGGTTTCCCAATATGGTTTATAGGCATGTTCTCAGCTCTCACGTGGGTCACAAACTTTACGCTGGGGCCAGTGATTTGTTGAGATTCCTTGGGTATGACCTCCCAACACAAGGAATCTTAAAGATTGCAGCTGAAGTAGAAGCTAGTCAGAAAAAGGATACTTTTTCATTCACTTTGTCAATAAATGGCTGCCATGATTGAAGGAACTATTCCCTATGCTATGATTAGTTGTAGGCCACAAAATATTATGGCAGGAAAGGATCATGGAAGCACATAACCAAGCTGAAACAAATAGATAAGGATAATCTGAGAAGTAAGAGAGAAAACTGGGTTGAAAGGGCAAGAAAAGATTCCCCACGAGGCCTTTCCTGAGCCTCCCCAAACTAGTAGTACCTTCTCACCAAAATCTCCTTATATACATTGTGGATATACTTACATATGTATTTGTCTCCTCTGGCTGGCCTATAAACTCCTAGAAGGCAGATGCTATTTTTGTTTTGTTCAGTTCTTGAGAGATGAGAGAATAATGAGGAGAAATGGAGAACAAAGAGGATGAGAAAGAGAAAGAGGAGTATATAGAGAAAAAACAAAGTCATAAGGTCTATTTGTCATAAACAATTGGAACTATGAAAGAACAAAAACCAGGAGAATGGACAAAAAATGGAGATCATAAAAAATACCAAGGGTCAGATAAGAAGCAGAAAAATGAAAAACAACAAATCTATTGTCCTAGGAACATCTTTCTAATAGAGATCAGAAACTCTAGATAGAAGTGTGTGTGTGTGTGTGTGTGTGTGTGAGAGAGAGAGAGAGAGAGAGAGAGAGAGAGAGAGAGAGAGAGATGGAAAGGAAAGAAGAAAAGGAGACAGAGAGACAAATAGAGACAGAGAGAAATTATATACTGAAGGACCAAATGTCTAAACACAAAATAATACAAATCAAGAAATAAGGAATACTATTATAATACTCCAACTGCGAAAGATTTTCAGATTACAGTCAATCCTTGATTTCACCATATAACTCACCTTTCCCCAATACTTCAATAGCTCCCTCCAGATTAAATGTTGACTTCAGACCACAGCCTTCAAGTCTCTCTGTCTTCCCTATGTGCTTTCATCTCAGCTATAACTGAAACCTTAACTTCCTTTCTAGTCCACCTTGTCTTCTAATGACCTATTGCACATGGTATTATTCCTACCTCTTGATTTAAGTTTTCCCCATCCTTTCTGTAAATCACAGTTTACCTTCTGACTCATCACGGATGTTACCTGACTTTTACCAACCATTCACACCTAAACACACACAAACATCATTTGAGTCAATAATTTCATAACAGCCTGCAGGGAGCATAGCTGACTGCTATGCTTTCTTAGGCTTGCCCTACTCATTTATTCTCTGGAGGAAGAGCTCCTAGAGGGAAATCCAGAAATGCAATCACAAGATAAAAAGATGGCAAAAGAAAAGAAAAAAGGAAGAAAAGGCAGAAGATTGGATAATGCATAGTTGAATAATCAAATTGACTTCATCTCGTTTTCTCAAGATAAGGGAAAATCTGCTCCCTGTCCTATTTATAACTGAAGTTCAAATCAAATATTACCCTCCAGAGGCAAATGTCCCAATATTTGGGATCTGCCCTTGGCCTCTGTGGAGAATTGTCTCAGATGAGAAAGGAGGAAGGTCAACAGCTATCCATGAGTTGACCCAAAAGGCTCTAGTATATTTTGTGAGATTTTCTCAATCCCTTGGCTCAAAGCCCCCAGTCAGGAAATCTAGGGAAAAATGCTTAGTATCCCCTGGTTGAAGGAGATGGACTCCTCATTTATAGGGAAGGGAATAAGCATTGATTAAGCACCAACTATATTCCAGGCACTATGCTAAGCACTATACAATTATTATCTCGTGATACTCCCAACAACTGTGGGGGTTAGGTACTATTGTTGTCATCTTCACTTTACAGTTGAGGAAACTGAGGCAGACAGAAGTTAAACGACTTGTTCAGGGTTGCACAGCTAATAAGTGACTGAGGTCTCATTTGAACTCAGGTCTTCCTGACTCCAGTTTTACTACTCTAACCCTGGTGCCACCTAGATGCCTCTGCAAAATGAGGGGGGATAGACTAGGTGATCTGTAAGATTCCTTTCGGCTCCAGATCTATGATCCTCATTTGTAACCGTGTACTTTTAAGCAGTTATTAAAGGAGGAAAACAAAATACAATGCTTAGAATGAACAACTATTAGTTCCTAATATGTATGTATTTCCTGAGACTCTTATACGTAAAAGTGTGTTAACTCCCCTGGGGTGGGCCCTTACTAATAAGTCCCTTCCTGGCTGCTGCTCCTTGTCCCTAGGGGCAGGGGCTTTTTGGTGGGGAGAGCAGGAATAGAAAGGGGAGAGTTGTATTTCTTTCTTTCAACCATTTCTCATTGATCTGTATTATAACCATCTAATATCTTACTTCTCAGACCAAGCCAGAGTGAGTTTCCAAAGAGTCACTCAGTCTTTTGATGTCATTTTCTCAGTTCAAAATTAAGGGGAAAAAAAAGTAAAACTCCCTCCTAGGTCCTTCCCTTTTCTCCTGGTTACCACTAACAGGTCTGTCCCCACAGTCCCTTCTTCTTTACCTTCTCTTCCTTTCAACTACTAGCCTCCCCATCACTGTACATAATTTTAGAGAAGACACCCTTTATTTTTCCCAGTTACTCAAATGGGAAAAGAAGAGTAAAAAGGCAAATATCCCATTACTTGCTAAATAAGAAACTTTGGGATCAACCGTGGGTCTCTGTAAAGCCTTATAAAAGAAAGAAAAGGGAAAAGGCCCATGGCTGTTGCTGACTCCACCCTGGATTCCCATTCCTACCTGCCCCAGCTCCTCATCTATCTGGAATTCTTTTAGTCAACTGCCACTGTCACGCCTAGTCATCAGGAGTACTCCCTTTCTATCTTGACTGAAGTAGAGAAAATTCCATTTTTCTCAGTCAATCAATACAAGGTTAGGATTTTTCAAAAGGAATTAAACTAAAAGAAAACTAGTAACACACCAAATCCTAGAAAGAAGCAAATTTCCAAGTTACAGATTTCTGATCCCAGTTTTAATGTCTAATCAAAAATTGGCCTGGCTAACATAGCTTCAGAAGAATGTGTTTCCTAGAATTCTTTTTCCTAGACTCGAACCCATCTGAGGTCTCTTTCCCAAGGTCCTCTTTTTCAGACTTTCCTCTTCTCATTCTTTCTTGTGACTCTAGCTTTTCCTTTAGGGGATGGAGTAGAATATAATCTCTGGTTGAGTTCCCCTAGCCAGGTAGTAGAATAGACTGGCACTTGGTTAATTAGCCACCCCTAGATAGAGAAGCACATCATTTTCTATATTGTACTAGCATATCAGAACAGAATCCTTAGATATTCAAGTATCCCCTCCTCAGGGGGGCTATTCGCTTTTCCTGAGGGACAAAAACTAATTTCCTCATAGTACTTCTTTCCCAAACTCATATAAACATATACATTCCTTCCATCTGCTCCTTTTGTATAATTTAGATTCTCTTATTCCCAAGGACTGCTTTCTTAAGCTGAAGTTTTTCTCTAGACTTTTAATAGAATCCAAGAATCACTATGGTATAGTGGAATAGTGTCTTGTTTAGATTCAAAGGACTTGAGGTCTAGTCTTGGTTTTACCACTTATTAACTACATAACCCTGGATAAAACACTTGAATTTTCTGGGCCTCAGTTTCCTCATCTATAAAATGGGGATAATAATGCTGGCATTAATTATCCTATAAGGTTCTTATAGATTTCAAATGAGATAACATGCGTAAATATTTGGCAAATCTCAAAGTGTTGTACAAATATCAGCTCTTTATTATTGTCGTATGTCAGTTGAAAAGGCTTAGGCTATGGGTCTGATAACAAACTATACTATATGCATGTGTGTACATATATCTATATCTTTAATGAGATATTTAATAAAATATTTGAACTATTATAATAGATGTATATATCTTTTAGTACCTATTGCAAAGGGTTATTGTGAAGATCAAATAAAATAATATTTGTAAAGCAGTTAGTACAGTGCCTGGCACATAGTAGATGCTTAAAAAATGTGTGTTCTCTCCTCCCTTTAGTGGCCATGTCACTGTGACTTCAGCAAGAGATATTCCTCAACAGGAGAGGTTTTCAGGACTACTTTTCCTAGAGGGCTTTGGACAAGCCTAGAGTATAGTGATGTCATTCTGCAAGGACTCTGATTGGTGGGGAGTGTGCCACCAGGCAGGATGTTTAAAAAGAGGATGACATGAATACAGAATAAGAATCGAGTGAACATGGGAGTAGATGGAGCTTTGAATCATTCTATGGAGCTGGAGTTAGGGTGGAGAGACCATATGGAACTCTATGGCTAGGATATCCCTCAATACCAGAGTCACAGCTGGACCCAAACCTCTAGAGCCAAGGTGAAAGCATTTGACTATTCTCCAGTGTGCTGCAGGAGACTTCCAAGAAAGAAATGCCCAGAGGCAGATGACAGTGGACTGTAAATATTTACCACTGTGGCAATGACTTCTGAAGTGACTGCATCCTTTTCCTGCCATACTGAGGAACCAGGGGGATTTAAAAAAAGAATTTGTATTGAATTCCTCTGGAAGTAATCCTTATTATATGGGTTCAGAGAATGTTTTGCTACTGATCCCCTTCTTTGTTATTTATGTTGCTTCCTATCTAAATGATTTTGCCTTTGGATCTATTCATCTCCTGTATGGTCAAGCACAAGAGAAAAATTTTTTGCATTGGTTGGGGGCTTGAGCTATGAGTCAGATGACTGATTACCTAGCACGACCATACTGGAAGTAGTGAGGAATATTATGTCATCATCATTATCCTTATAATACCTATCATTTATATAGCACTCACCATATATCAGGCACTATGCTAAGCATTTTATAACTATTACCTCATTTGAGCCTCACAACAACCCTGGGAGGTAGATGCTGTTATTATCCCCATTTTAGAGATGAAGAAACTGAGACAAACGGTGGGTAAGTGACTTGTCCAGGGCCACACAGCTAGTAAGCATCTGAGGCAGGAGTTGAATTCAGGTCTTCTTGACTCTACACCCAGTGCTTAATCCTCTGTGCCACCTAGCTTACCCAAATGTCTGTTATTTGAGGACTCTCCTAAGTTCAGACAGGCTCATCACTGTAATGACCTCAGCAATTCCTGAGGATCATCATTACTAAATCATACTAAATTATAGATCTTTGAAGTGTTGGAATATTACTATTGTAATTATTATTAAGAGGTTGACAAATCTCAATTGTTTTTCCAGTCCATTTCCCTGGCTTTCAAGAATGAACCTCCAAACCATCTTAGTCAGATTAAACCTACTCTTTAAGAAAACCTCCCAGGAAAGAAAAAAGTATCCTTTTCCTTGATAGCCAACCGGTCTCGGTGACTGAGAATTCTCTTTGACAGTAAATTCCTTTTTTTTTTTTTTTCGTTTGCTTAGGCAATTGGGGTTAAGTGACTTGCCCAGAGTCACACAGTTAGTGAGTGTTATGTGTCTGAGGCCGAATTTGAATTCAGGTCCTCCTGACTCCAGGGCCGGTGCTCTATCCACTGCACCACCTAGCTGTCCCTGTCAGGACATTCTTAACTAAGTCATGCCTTAGAAGGAGGAGCATCTCAAGAATCTCCAAATATCAACATCATTTACTGCAATAAAAACTTGCCTAGAACTCCATTCCATTTCTTGGTGCAGCATGAATCTTTTATCTCACCATTCTAAAATGTGTGATGCTGTGTGTGTGTGTGTGTGTGTGTGTATGTATGGGGTAGCAAAGAACTAGAAACAAAGAGGGTACCCACCAAATGGGGAATGGCTGAACAAATTGTGGCATATGAATGTAATGGAACATTGTGAGCCCTAAGAAATGCTGAATAGGAGGAATACAGAAAAACAGGGAAAAACTCAAATGAACTCATGTAAAGTGAAGTAAACAGATCCAGCAAAATGATATATGTATAATGACTACCATAATTTAACTGAAAAAGCAATAAGATGAAGCTAAGCGTGATATAATTATGACTAATCTTGGCCCTGGAGAAGAAATAGAGAAATGTAACTCCTCTTTCATTAGAGAGGTAGGAGACTGTGGGTGTGAAATGTTGCCTATATGATCAGTTATGTAGCTTAACGACTTTTCTTTGTTATAAGGGAAAGATGGAAAAAAAATAAAGGAAGACTTGGATAAGCAGGGAATCAAAAATGTATATGAACCCTTGCAGAGTAAAGTAAACAGAACCAGGAAAACAATGTACACAATGACTACCATAATTTAACTGAGAAAGCAATAAAATGAAGCTAAGTGTGATATAATTATGACTAATCTTGACCCTGGAAGCAGAAATATAACTCCTTTGTTTCATTGGAGAAGTGGGGGACTCTGGGTGTGGAATGTTGCATACATGATCAGTTATGTTGGTTGGTTTTGCTTAAATAATTTTCTTTGTTATAAGGGGAAGATGGGAAAAAAAATAAGGGAAACCTGGGGTGGGGAGGGGCAGGAAGTAAAAAAAAAAGTGCATTACCACAAAAGGCAGCAATAGAACTTTAAATAAGCAAATGAATGAATGAATAAATAAATGAGTAAGTATAAAAAATGACTAGGGCTTGCTTTATTAGATTTCTTTCTTTGCTTTATGGACACTTCTGTACATTTTAGATTTTCCCTTTCCTGCTCCTCTAGAGCACACAGTACAGAAAGGAAGAAATGCAAACCTCTCCCCAAAGCTTCATAAATTACACAACATGGCCAGCCTTTAGAAAATACAACCAGAGAAAAGTCCTAGCAAGGAAGCAGTCAAAGGATAAACCTCTCCTCATGGCTCTCTTTGTCTTCATCATTTTTCATTCTCTCTGTGTCTCTGTCTTTCTCTCTCACTCTCATTCTCTCTGTTTTTGTCTCTGTCTCTCTCTGTCTTTCTGTGTCTCTCTGTCTCTCTGTGTCTCTGTCTGTGTCTCTCTTTGTCTCTGTCTCTCTCTGGAAGGAATGAACACTATAGAGGCCCACCTCTGCTAAGGAAGGCTAAGTGATTCTTTTTGTTGAAGTACTGGAATGACTGAAGTATGATGGGAGAAATCCCACACAATCCACCGTGAATCAACCAATACTTTCACAAATGCCTAAAGCTTGATGAAGATTAATGATCCACAGCATTCTGTGAACTTGAGGATAACACCTAAGCTAAATACGCCAACAGTTTCCACAGATTTACGTTTACCCTACAGTTGTGTGACATGTGATATTTTTGAAGCAAATTTTATCTAAAGTCAGTCACAAAGCTGGTGAGGTTGTTTCATAATGGGCTACTGGAAACAGTCAGTCAGACCTCCCTGGGGCACTGGGAGGCACCTTTAATGGGGTCCCAGGTTCAGCCAATTTTCTCCTGAGTTGAAGGATGAACTCTATGGAGTACACTTCAGGCTTGACTTTGAATTTCTTCACTTAAGGGAGTTGGTTAAAGCCTTAACCTCATTTCCAGTGATTTATATTGCCCCAATTTCTTAGATAAATCCGTGTGCAGAAATCTGATATAAATGAAAATGTTATTGATAAGACAGTTTGCATTCTTTCTCTCCTTTCATATTACAATTGCTATTTCCACTACCTAAGCTTTAAACTTAAGAAGTTTAAATAGTAGCACAGGCCAATATTCAGAGTTGAATTTAATATAACACCTATAGAGAGCTCATCTAATCAGAACAAATCCAAAAAATGTCAAAATTACTCACCCAACATAAGTATTCCTGTCAGTCTTCATGGATTTACTGGAGTCAGCTAAAATAGATGTCATGCTTTTCTACTATGAGACACAATCAGTCTTGAGTTTGAAATCAAAAGAAGGAAAAACAAATACCAGTGTCCGCTCTTAATTTGTGGATCTAAACAGAATTTTTCAAGCGTATTTGCTGTGGTTAGAGTGATGCTCCTTGCCTGGTGTTTTTCATCAGAGATTAGCAATGGAACTTTTCCATGGGCCTTTTCATCACCTCAATAAATTCAAATATTCCCCCTTCTCTGGTGACCTTTTCTTATATACTAGAGTTCAGACATTGTCAAAGCATTTTACGCAGCAGATTGGCTCTCTAGGAAGGTGTGGCATCCTATCCCCACTGTCAGGTTGGAAGCCTGCTCACTGTTTGTCCCTGTTCTCACATCTGGCACTCATCCCAGAATGAGTTTGATGGGGCACATGGACTTATTTGCTTTGAGATTAGGTACAGGGATGCAAGCCCTCTGTTGGTTTCCATAACAACCCCACTGGGTTTTCCTGCAAACGTATCCAGCACACGTGAGAACTTTCAGCCCCCAAACAATCACTTCCCTCTCCTAAACACTTCCCCACCCTCACCACTCTCAACTTCTATTTTCATTCTTTCTAATCACAAGTCAGGATAACATCCAAAGTTAATACTTAAGCACAACATCTCTTGTACTTGGCTAGCGCAGCTTCTCATACAGATGACCAATATTTAAACTGTATTCATTTCTTGAGGTCTCACCATCTATCTGGACTGTCAGACTGAGTCTGCATCACAGTGAATTAGTTGTTTAGGGGCCAAACCAGGTAGAATTGTTGAAATGTCAATGTCAATCTGACATTTTTAGAAAACACAGTGTCCCTGTAAAGGGTTCTATGGATATACCCCCCCCCCACTCTCCCTATACATGTATATTATATATATATATACACATACATATATTTATTTATTTATTTACTGTCACTTCAGTCTTCTTGGGCCCTCAGTTTGCTCATCTGTAAAATGTGGGGGTTGAATTAGAAGATCTCAAAGGGCCCTCTTATCTCTAATATTCTGTGGTCTTACTGATTCTCACTATTCTTTTCAGGAAGAATTCAGAATTATTCAGTAGGACCCAAACTTATTTCCTTTTTAAATTCCCTCCTATGGAAGCCAATTGCAGTTCTATGCTGATGGAGGCCTTATGAACATTACTCTCATGGCTCCTATATAAGTCAAAGTATAAAATATTCATAGATGCAAAACTACTCTGATCATTTAGAATTTAGTGATACACATTGATTTTTTTTCAAGAATGTGCGAATTAGGTATAATATTTTTTTCTTGTACCATAGTATGTGTTGACATCTATATCCATTCTCCATAGTGCTGCTATGGCTGACAGTTCTTGTTTTTTTCTCCTGTACCCCTACATTGACCTTCCTCTCTATAAATCCCAGCCACTAATTCATTTCTCTCTTGGGGAGGCATCAGCAGAGTTTGAAGGTTGAGATGGAGAGAGTGAAAGGAAAGGGCCCAGGCAGTTAAATTAGTGGCATGGTGGAGGTGTCAAACTCAAATACAAATGGGGGTCACTAAACCATAAGTGTATCTGTAGGCTGCATATTGACTTGTAAAACCATGTAATAACATTATCTATGTTTTATTGCATTTTTCACTTATTTTGTTAAATATTTCCCAGTTACGTTTTAATCTGGTTCTGGCCCCTCTAGGGCGTGTTGTGGGCCATAAATGTTCTTCAGGTTACATGTTTGACACCTCTGATATAGTGGCCTGGAAGTCTGAAAACTAGAGTATAAAGCAAGCAGTCAATAAAATGTATCAAGTACCTGCTATGTTCCAGGCACTGTGCTAAGTAAGCTCTTAATAACTGTATAGTCTTGAATGAATCAGTTAACCTCTATGGGCTTTACTTTCCTCATTTGCAAAATCAGAGAGTGAGGTAAGTTGAACTAGATGATGTCAGGTCCTTCTTATCTCTAATCCTTAGGTCTCACAACCTTTCTTATACATCTCACATCTGAACTCTCTTTTAAGTGTTCTCTTACACACACACAGACACACATACCCCCATTTAGAACATGAAATCCTTAAGATCAGGGACTGTTGTTTTCTTTTTGTGTTTGTATCTCGAGCACTTTGCAAAGTGCTTGGAAATGCTTTTCATTCATTCATTCATTCATTCATTCATTCATTCATTCATTTATGAACTTCCAATGACCATAAGTTTCAATGCAGTTGCCTATCTACATTGGAACTCTAGAGTTTCTTCATTGGGAGTTTTTGCTATTGGAGAAATCACAGATTTGGACCAAAGGAATTGATCTAGCCCATGACTAAAACAACTGAACAACAACAACTACAACAACAATTTTTGCCATTTCCATCGCCAAATCACTGTTTGGAGTTCTGAAATTTTGTTTGGAGAAGAGGTGGAGGTTTCTAATAAGAATCTCAGAATCTCAGAATTTCACACAGGATTACCTAGTCAGTCAGTCAACAGAAATTTGTGAAGTGTTAAGTCCTGGGAATACCAAAAAAAGCAAAAACATGTAGTTCAGCCCTCACCTGAAAAAGAATTTCCTCTCCATTCCATTTGATTGTAAACTCCTTGAGGGCAGCAACTATCTTTTGCCTCTTTTTATATGCCCAGAGCTTAGCACAATGCCTGCCATATAGGAAGTGTCTAACATATGTTGATTGATTATACGATATCTCCAAAACATGGTCATCCGGCTTTTACTTGAAGACCTCCATTAAGGAGGAACCCATACCTTTCCAAGACAGCCCATTTCACTTCGTAGAACTAATGTTAAGAAGTTTTTCACACTCCTAGCTTGAGAAAGCATGTCATTTATGCATTGGTGACTGGAAAGCAGTGGGAGAGTTGGGTACAAACCATCTGTCCTCTAGCTTATACCAGTTTGTTGGTTATGGCAACAATAAAGCCTTTTGTCTTATGACTCAGCCACTTTGGCCTTCCCAGTGTCCTTTCCCAGCAGTCCACAACAATGCTGAGCATTCAGCATCTCAAGTTTTCTTGGCCACCCCTCTTCGCCTCTTACTTGTAGTAACTTTTAATTTATAGTTAGAGAGTCATGTCAGGGGTACAGGGACTCCAATCTGGCATTTACTTCTGGTTCTGACAGGTGAAAGCATTAGCTAATTAGATAAATGTCATGTAATTAATTAATCCAGTTAATTAATTTGGCTTATTAAAATGCCTGTTTTTAGTGCAGATTTTGGATTTTGCTAACCAATACTTTTGATCTGCAACAGTACCATGGAAATCCAGCTGAGATTTATATGCCCTATGAAGCAACTCCCTTAGACATTAAGGAAAGTCCTCATCACCCCACTGAATTGTAGAATCTGCTTATAGATTCTATGAAAATAGAGAGTTAATTAGGGCCTTCTGGGCAAACAGTTTATGCTCCATGGTTTTCCAATTTCCCTAAGCCTTGACTCTGTTCTATTTTTTTTTAAGTAGGGGGAGAGAAAGGGGGAATTATTCTGCTTTTTTTAGGGTTCTGCCATACTTGACCAGTCAGTGCTTTTCATGAGGAAAGAAGAAAAGAGAAATACATTCAATCATGTACTTTGGGAAGTGAAAGATCTTAGCTCCCCTTCAATCACTGAGCAATTTTCTTACTTGCAAACTGAGCAGAATGCTGTGACTCAGCATGGGCAAAGGATTGGTTTTCTGAGTCAGGGAATCCAAATCTCAGCTTCCTCACTGTTTGCCTTGGGCAAGATACTTAACCTTAGTTCTTCCTTGGTGGTGAAAACATTATGATATGACCTCTCCCATGGGGGTTTTATATCCAGCTTAATTTTGCCTTTTAGCCATGCATGTTTGAGGGAAGAAAGCAGATCCTATGCCTGCTGCCTAAGCCTTTGGGCCCCTCTCCACCTTACAAACACTCTGCTCCCCTGCCTGCCCATAAAGGGAAAGTGCTGGATGTCTAGTTCAGATGACTCAAGTTTGAATTCTTTTTCTATCACTTTCGACTTCTGTGACCTTGGGCAAATCTTAATCTCTGTGGGCCTTAATTTCATCTGTAAAATGGAGGAGTTTTATTAAGTGGTCTTCAAATTCCCTTCCACCTCTAAGATGATCATTCTAAGTATAGATGAGATCAAGAAAGTACTGTGTAGTCACATTATATCTCTTTCTTTTATAACCTGGCTTCAACCAAACCTCAGGGCATTTTTCGAGCTGATGAATATGCAGAGAGATGTAACTCATATGTCTTGGAGAGAATATTGAGTACAACCTGCCATAAGAAACTTAGTGAACTGGAGCCAGAGTATCTGGGAGAGAGACACATGAAGTTCCAGAGACTATTCAAGAGAATGCTACATATGGGGAGAGAAGTTACAGATATGTAGAAGAAACCTGCTACTTCTCAACCTGTCCTTTATTTCCAGCTTACCTCCCTAGAAACTGCTAGAATGGACCTCTTTGGGTGAGATTGGATCTTCTCTCTCTTGGTTTGAACTGAGAGCTCCTCTTTTTTTTTTTTTTGTAAGGCAATTGGGATTAAGTGACTTGCCCAGAGTCACACAGCTAGTGAGTGTTATGTGTCTGAGGCTGGATTTGAACTCAGGTCCTCCTGACTCCAGGGCCGGTGCTCTATCCACTTTGCCACCTAGCTGCTCCTGAGATCTCCTCTTAATCCTTGCTAAAGTGCTCATTCACTCTTGCATGTTCTTTGGTATATTCTAATCTGTATACGTTGCAGATTTCTGTTTGCTGTTTAGATGAATTTATACTCATTTTTTGTTATTCATGGTGGTCTTTTGTGAAATGAGCATCTGATAGGAAGGAGCTAAGCTGGTAAGTGTAACCTCCTTTTTAAGGATGACCAGGAAAAAAACAGCTTTCCTTTGGAACCAGACTCATACCTTTAGACTACCAGTATTTGTGGAGACAGATATATATAATTCTAGCCTGACATCCCTTTTAGAGATAGGTGAGAGAGGGAGCAAGTGCCCAGTCAAGGCTTTTCTCTTGCTCTCCTTAAGGCAGAAATTTCTGCCTTTCTTGGAGAAGGGTCATCTGAATTCCATGCTACCTGCAAGCTGTGTCATTTAGACAACTTGTGTGTATACACACACACACACACACACACACACACATTATTTATCTATCTAATCTTAATCTTCTAAGTAGCGTCATAAGCAAACTACTTTAAACCTATTTTTGTTTACATTAATCTGG